TATATATATATATATGTAAAGGATTTTGTAATAATCTCATTGAGGGAATTTATGTTTTCAAGCTATTATAAGCAAGGATCGTTAAGTTTTATATTCCTATACACATATTGTTGCATGAATATCTAAGTTATGATTATTTGAGAATCCTAGGTTAGGTGGTGTTTATGTTTTTCGTTACTTAGTTATTGTGTTGTAGAAAGTGAAGTGACCTGTCATATCGTTATAGATCATGCACCATCTTCGTGAGATGGTCAACACAACTATTTTCTTTTCTCAAGATGTGAGTTAACATGCACTCCTAACCTATGTTCAACAAGCTTGGGATGCAAGTCAACTTGTTCATACATAAATGGTGACAGCTGACATCCACATAAACAAGCTACACCACCTACTTTGAGTCTAAGAAATAATTCACCTTGTGGTATCCTTTTTCCCAAGAAAAATGAAGATGACAAGTGCTTATATGCTTGGTTTAGTTTTGTTTATAGTTTTGATGAAGTCTCACACTTGGTTGTGTTGACAATTGACTATAATAGTTAGGATGTGTGTTGTGGTGTTTGGTAGCTTTTAACATGCCTTTGAAAAAATTGATCCATTGATTATAAACTTAAAAAGATAAAAATGAAAAGATTGTTTTTCTTAAAACTAAAATTGAATCAAGCTTATAAAATTTAAATTGTTTCATTAAGCCTTGAATAAAGTTGATTAAGTCTTGTTTAAATTTAAATTGCTTCATCATGCTCTTAAGGTTTTCAAAAAAGACAGATTTGATAATAAGTCAACAATTAATTACACAATGTAATAATCAATTATTTGGGATTTAAAATTTGTGAAACAGGGAAACAAAAAGAGGATTGAATTGTGTTTTACTATTTGTTTTCACAAATCTTTTCAAAGAACCACGTTTCATCTAACCTATAAGTTGATATAGTGTGTTTAAATTATAGTTAAAAATTAAGTTGAGTTAAACTTAACTTTTTAAATTTAAGTTTAACTAAAAATGAGTTTAATTTAACTTTATTTATGTTTGAATAAATATATGCTAAAAGAACTTTTATCACAATAAAAACTTCTTTGGACGATAATAATCAAAAGTAGTTTCAAATGTGTAATTATTAAAATGAATATGAATTTTATAATATAATATAAGTGTTATTTATTTTATTATTTTTCGTATATTTGAATTAATAATAATAAAAAATAAATAGTGGTTGATGTATATGGGGGAAGAAACACCGCATACAACTAGATGATTGCCTCTCCATTGGTCTTCTTCATGGCCTCATTGTCTCTTGTTCTCCTTTATTCCCACTTTCTATTATATCGAGCTGATAATATTAATATCTTTAATGTAGAAAGGTTGAGAGTATGAGTTACCCTATTTGCATTAAAGTAAATGCAACAAGGTTTTTGTTTTATCTAAAATGGAGGTTAAGGCCAAAATGACATTCGATTGAATGGAAAAGAAGGAATCTAAACAAATGGGTGTAATTTTTAATGATTGAAGAACCTCCATTTTGATATCTAAACGAGAAATCAAACATTATCATATATAATAAATTTTCACAAAAACTTGTTTAACTTCAAACAATTAAAATACTTTTCATATCTCGATAAATACTTTAAATTATAGACTATTTTAAAACAAGATCCTAGTTAGTCAAAATAAGAGATAAGAGAACAAATTTTTTATAATGGTTCATTTTTGTAACAACCCAATTTCTAGTTCAAAGAAGGTTTGATATTTAAAATAATAATAAAAGAAAAACTTCGGTTGCAAACTTTGTTATTAATTTTTATACATGTAAGTTTAGTATTGGTTAATATATAAAACGCATTGTCTGAAATTTTAAAGTAATAAGCATAAAATATTTGTTTAAGACAATGAAATGAGTTAACTAAAATAAAATTTTATTACATTAAATACAAACTGCGACATATGTGTATGTGTACATAAAATGATGGGTTTATATGATAATACATAATTATAAGTAACATACATAGCTTCAAAGAAATCAAGGAGCTGGACACAAGTAGTTAACATGTTGAACTTAAGATTGAATTATTTGAGTAGTGTTAGAGTTGAATCCTCAACAGTAGGGATGTGCAAAAAATCAAAATCAATCCATAACTAAATCGACTTTGCAAAATTGGTTTGGTTATTCGTTCTAATTTTATAAAGTGGACCACTTCAATTCAATGTTTTAAAAAAAATTAATCCATATATGGGTATAAAATTAATCACCACATCACATCAAATCAATCCATATTCAAAATAATTGATCCATATTTAAAAAAAAAACAAATTGACCCACTTTTATAAAATAGATTAATTCAGTTTAGATTTTTCAAAAATATAATCCATGAATACCCTTACTTGGCAAAAAAAATCCATAATCAAACTTTACTTACCTTATAGTCAAGTCAAATTAGTCTAAAATGAAACTTTAGGACTCTAGTACAGGAAAAATAACACACACACACATATATATATATAAGGAGGGATCTATTTACTTTAGGAGTAAATCTATCTAGACTTATTCAATAACTTATGTTTTACATTAAATTTCAACGATCAAACCATTGAATTTAAAGTTTTTAATGCATATATCAAGTTTGCAAATTTTTAAAACTTTGAAAACTATTTGATATTTCGTTTCATTAATTCAAATCAATATATAAAATACTTTATGATTATCCGTCAATTTAAATTAATGAAAAGAAGTATCAAATGATTTTTAATTATTTTAAGAAATTTGTAGACTTGATCTATTCATTAAGAACTTTAAATTTAACGGTAAATTTGATGTAGAACATGAGTTATTGAACAGAGTAAACCTAAGTAGACTTTCTCTTAAAATAAATAGATCCTCCTATCTCTCTCATTATATATATATATATATATATATACCCCAAAGATCAACAAAATACATATGATAAAAGTATGATGACTAAATTTACATGCATAAAAAATCAGAAACCTAGGCTACCAATAAAAAATACATCAAAAGGAATAAACCTGGTCTAAGAGCAGTCATCACTAAACCCAATGCAGTGTAAAAGTTGTACACGAGGTAAGTCGAGAGTTAGCAATCAAAAGGATCTCGTCAGCAGGATACATGTAAAGAGGTTCACAAAGATCATCCTCATTACTCTCCTCCACTAACCAACTAGCTCCCCTTGTTAGGGCCTATCTAGTAGCATATATTACAGTGTATGATGCCTCCTGGCTCCCCTAAGTAGGAATCTCCTCCTCCTCCAAGACATGTTCAAGATTAAGGAAGACAAGATTATTGGGATTGACCATAACATGATGAGATGTTCCTGAATTAATAAACCAATTTTGTGATTACTGTTGAGGAAGTATATTTGCAACAAAGGTTTAAAATGGTGATGAACATGGAACAGATACTTAAGATGTGGATATATTTTGCTAAGGCAGTACCATAGAGTGTGAAGGACAAACATATTGATATGGATTCTTGTTATAACCAAATGAATAAGATTGATAAGGATAATATGACTAAGGAGGCATGTAACTTTTTTGCTGAGGCATAAAATTCTGGTGTAAGTGCATAGGCTAGATTGAACATGTGATAGCAATAAGAAGCTTTATGACCAAACTTATAGAAACTTGACACTAACTATTTCCACGATCTAAATGACCATTTCTACCACCTCTTCGGCCAAATTGACCACCCGATTAGCTTGAAAATCAAAAGAATGAGATTATCAACTGTAGACTAAGGTGTACTACTGTCATAATTGACTTTAGCTGCAAGTGTAATAGTTGTGTTTGTTGATAAACAAATTCAACTTGGTTTAGATTTGTGTCAAATTTAGAGTAGAAACAGAATCAACATCTTTCGGTTTATTAAAACAACTTTCTTAAGCTAACAAAAGAGATTCAACATCATTAAAGTCAAACCAATCAGGTTTGCTATTCACCAAAGTAACTAGGGATTCATATTCGAGAGACAATCCTTTAAGAAGACCTTCAAGAAGAGATTCAAGTTCCTTTAGTGAGGAAATAGTTACTCCAATGGATAAGAGAGAAATCGGAGATCGATTTTATTTGTGTTAGAAGCTGCCAATTATATTTGTCACCTTTTTTTTGGTGTTGCAAAGCTCAGAACAAAGATGTCGAACTTGTGCTTTAGCCTTCAAATGAAAATGATAAATTGTCTCCCATAATTACTGGGAGTAGTGGTAACCAATAACCTTTGGTAAAATTGACAGTGTAATGATGATTAATGCCATGCAAGGAAGAAATGATCTTGTAAATCACAGAATGTGAACATCAGATTCTCATTATCAAGTCAATCCTCTTCAAAGAGATATCAACTTGAAATTTCAAGTGAAGCACAAAACCTATGCCATTTGTGCGCACAAAGGATTGGTTCAACTTGTTGAAGCCAAACACGGTAGTTATCATCAAACAATTTCTCATTAATTGAAAATAAAACACAAAGTACAGCTGAATCAATACCAAAAAAGTTGAATTGTGCAACCAAGGTGTTTGAATAAGATCTAAAGCCGTGGGAAACTTTATGAAACTTTGGATTACCATGTAGAGCTGCGAAAGAGAAGGAGAAAGAGAACCGAATTTCTTATTATTGATATTGTGATTCTTCAATAGAAGGGATCAAATTATATAGCCACTTAACTTACAACTAAAGAACCCTATTACTCTATTAAAATTAAATCGCAATTATGGTTACAAACCCACTTAAAAGCCTTAGCACAAGCTCAAGTATTGACACAGATATCCTGACACCATGTCATTGGCTTTTCATGGATACTAGTAACGATCAGTACTGTGATTAAAGCTCGAGCATTCAACATCTCATCTTTCTAATTATCATTTGATCATACATTTTTTTTTCTTTCACCAAGGTATTCATATCTAGCCACGTTAAAAATTTATACTGTTTTCTGTTCCTTGTTAACCATTCATACATCTGGCTTACTAACACTACAGTATAAAGATGACAACAATATAATAGAACGTAAAACAAAAAGATATAATAACCGGTATGTAATGTAACTAGTTGCACTTGGTATGTAATGTAACTACAAAACAAAAAGATGTAGGTAAAACAGTTTTCAACATTTACCGGAGTACACCATTCAAATCTCCCTTTTTCTAGTAACTTTTCTACTGTTGAACGTGACATGACATGGACTCTTCTCCCTGATTCAAAGCCATGTGAAACAAAAAAACAACAAAAACACGTGTGCCAGATATAATAACCAAATCTACCACTCAGCATCACATAGCTGTATGTTCAAAAAAACAATTGAAAGAACAAGCATTCCCACGGCAACTTATCACTTCTATCATGTACGATTGTCTCTTACCTGCATAGAAAAAAATTTAGGAAGTAACAATTAGTATGATTAAGTTTTATTTTATATATACATATGTATAAGTTTATCCACTAATTAATTATGCTGAAAATTTGCTGCTAAAGTGTTCTACTTTGCCTCATATTCCATGAAAAAAAATCACGTGGAATGAAGACATAAGTTACACATTTTTGCAATATTTTTGTTTACAAAATTAGTGATCAAGTTTATTTTAAATAATGGCACCAAGTGAAAGACATTGCATTATCCCCCAACATGTGGGTGAGAAAATACACCAGGATGAAGTAGAAGTAGGCTTGTACAATGTATATGATTGATTAAGGGAAAAAAATGCTCGAACCAATTAACTATGCTCAGGTTGAATTAGTCAAAATAAAAAAAATGTAACTAATCTAACCTGAACCAACCCAATCAAATTTATGTCAGGTTAAACAATTGATTATATATATATACATATATATATGTATATATATATAAGATCAAAATAAAATTGAAAGTATAGGAAAGAAAATGAAAAAATAATAAATAAATAAATAAAAAGCAGTTCAAGCCTGATTGAGTTCAACTGGTTTGCCTGTATGACCAATAATGGTTGGCTACATTGTAGACCTGATTTAGCCTTTGGGCTTTGGATCAATTCAGGGTTCATGTCACCAATATATCCAGATTCTTGATCACCCCATGAGGTAGAAGAACTTGAAATGAAATATTTCAACACAAAGAACTACACCAATAATCGAAACTAACCTTCAAGAGCTAATACTTGATGTCCCAAAGTAAAGAGGAATTTTTTTTATTAATCGCATATTTCAGTTCAGGGGACACCCTCCCAGACATTCTGTGTGATAACAACCTTAACCTCAGAACTGCCAGCAACTCCTTATGACGTGATTCCTTTCTCTTTAGTACTTGTATGTAAGCATGAAATCCAAGCCATTCCACTTCTTCCTTCTCCAACTCAAGCATCGGCTGTATATCTGAATTAAGACTCATGGAATGCATCCTTTTCTTTATCAAAAGGTGCATATATCTGGCAGTGGAAACATAATTAACTAACTGTTATAATTACTAGAATTGAAGTATTCAGAAAGAAATTCATAACCATTGAATAACTTATGCATAGCATTAGTTTCATGATAAGAGTCAATCAAATCAACAATGAGAAAAGGCTGTGTTAATATCAGTCCAACCGTAAGATAATATTACATCCATACCTCAGAGATCTCTGAATAATGTTTGAACAGTATCTTTTGGGAAGTTTGCAGATGAATGATAGATCCCGAATATAGCAATGAAACTTCATTGCACATAACAAAAATATTTGATAAATATTCAATCTGACAACTGCTGCTGAGTTTATATTTGAATCAAAGAATATAGGGTGGCATTTAGGTCTCAGAAAGAGATGCAACTTCTCCTTAAGATGAATACCAGGTTTACCTTGCCAGCAAACAGTAAGTGTCGAGCTTAAATGGTTACACAAGTACCTGTTAGGCATATGGAACTACTTATTCCAAAAAAGAACTAAAAAATAGATTCTCAATATGAATAATACTTAACACTAACATTCAAACACGTAAGTCAATAAGATTACGACATTAAATAATGCAAAGTTACAATTATGATTATAGGTGAACAGTCTAAAAACATGCCACACCTGAACACATTTCAACTATAAATTTGTCTCGCGACAATTTTATCTCAGAATAAAAAATGAACAACTCAACCACCAAACTATAGTTGCAAGACATATGGGATAGTCTACAGACTTCTCAAATTAATCCAATCCCAGAGTAATCTAATTAACCCCTTCCCCAAGATCCTGCCTCTGACAAGAACAGATCAACAGAATATAAATTACAATTCAATCATGCACGTCATTGCCTGTGAAATTCATACCAAAATAAGTCACAAAATACCCTCATATTACATCTGAACAGCCATTTAAATGCATTCACTGGAGGATTACCACTATTACTTAACATTTAAATGTTCTCATTGTTTCTTGATCTTACTTCTTACACAAGGTATCCTCTCACAACCATTCACTGATAGACTAATCTTCATTCACAGTCCCATAGGCCATAACCTCTAAACTTTTCAAGTAAAAACAGATTACAGAAATAACAAAAGAAAGCAGAAAATTATATTTATGTGTATTCCAACAACTGAAAAATGACTTTGGTAATCTATTTATTAAAATTTTGTATAAAATTAAGAAAATCTTGTCACTATTTGAAAATCCACGACTTGAACATCAATGATAAATAAGTACAGAAGCAAACATGTATCTATGTAACATGGTAATAAAACAAGAATACACATTATAGGCTAATGAGATCAATTAAAAAGCTGAGTAAAGACTAACTTGGAGTAGTCAGCCTGAATTTCCATGGTGGAGCAATTGATAAGAAGACCACTCCATCGAAGAAATGAAGTAGCACCATTTTCACTCGCATAAACTCGGTTTAATTGAGAGCCTAATATCTGTTCTACATCAAAGTTTGCACCAAACTTTTTCTCATTCATGTAGCAGTTGTAACCACGAAATCCTCTTTGTAGCCTGGAGAGAAAGCTAGCTGCCTGCTTCTTTGAGGTTGATATAAAAAGGATATCATCAATATATCGCATTAGCATGTAAGATGAAACTTTATTATCACAGTTGGTTTGTGCACTGTTATTCTCCTTGCAATTGCCAGACTCACGAGTCTTCTCAAGAAATGGAAATATTAAATGTCTCTCCAAATGTCCATAATATATGGAGCAAAGCAAAGATGACAAAACCCCTCCCTGGGGAATACCAACACCTTGCAAGTAAAATTTCCCATCAAATTGCAACACATTGTGCTTCACATGCTCCATAAGATCTGAAAATAGAACTTTCTTTTTCACAAGCTTCCATCGTTCCTGAAATATTAAAATATATATATGTTTAAATTAAGTATAGCACATGATTCTTTTTACTAAAACTTTTCATTCCTAAATAATCATGTACTTAGAGAATTTACACAATTTCTTTGAAGAGAAAGCAATACTAATATGTTAAACTTGATCAATACGTACAGTGCATCAATTAGGCAGGCTTAACCCCATCCAGGTTATCAAATTGAGATTCAATTCATGAATCGCAAAGGTAACTTTTGAATCATGAATCATAAGATTAGGGGACAATGAACAATAACTACAAATACATCATATATAGGTATATATATATATATGACATGTAGTGTTTAATGTAATAATTTTAAACTAGAAATATAAAAAAAAAAAACAGCTTATTCGTAAGCCTCATAATACAAAACTTAGTTGTATATACAAATTTTTGTGAAGCCTCCATTTTAGAAGAATGATATCAAAACATGACATAGACAAATACTGAGCATGCAATGCATGAGTGACAAATAAAATAGTGAAGTAATCAAATAGGATAAGTTTAAAAGTGCTCCTACAAATCATTTTCATTTAAAAATTTAAGCTTTTGACTTTTCAGTTTCTTTCACAAGAATTGGTGAAAGTAAAATGAAAAGAGAATAATAACTAATCCTTGAATCGTTTGATTTTAATAGAAATATAGAGAGAGAAGTTGAGAGAGAGAAAGAAAGAATATTATTGAAATGTAAAATATGTTTTCCACTCACTGAATAGAGAGCACAAGTTGTGTTTATATAGAGCCAACAACTTCTAATAGAAGGTGTTGGACCATAACAACTATTGGCCTATAATGAAAAACAATAAATGTGACTAACAATACAATAGAAAACAATAAAATAGAAACTTCTCTATAAATCCTGCACTACTGTTGTACATATATGTAAAGAGTAAAACTACACTCCAATACCCCCTGCAAGCTCAAGTAGGGGGAGGAAGATGTGGCACCTCAACTACTTGGAGTTTGGACCGAAGAGCACAAAACCTAGAGGGAGAGAGCTTTCGTGAGAACATCAGCACATTGATCAATAGCTGGAACATGGATAACTTGAAGATGCTTAGTAGCTACCTTCTCTCGAACACAAAAAGATCTAATTCAATATGTTTAGTTCGCACATGAAGAACAGGGTTGTGAGCTAGGGCTACAATGCTTAAGTTGTCACAGAATATAATTGGATTTGAAAGAAGAACTTTGTGTTTAGAGAGTAAGGTTTGTATCCAAGTAACTTCAGCAGCGGTAAGAGCAAGGCTTCGATATTCTGCCTCAGTGTTAGAACGAGCAACGACAGTTTGCTTCTTGGACCACCAGGACACAAGATTTGGTCCAAGGGAGATGGAAGCGAAGCACCTGATGTAGATCTCCTATCATCAGGATCTGATGCCCAATCTGCACCACAATAAGCATGAATAGAAAAAGGGGTGTTGGAAGGGGTTGGTTCCAGGTGAAGTCCCCAAGATATAGTACCCTTTAGATAGTGTAGGATACGTTCAACGGCAAACCAATGTTGTTCAAGAGGGTGGGACATAAATTGACAAACTTTGTTCACTGAGAAGCTGATTTCGGGTCTAGTGATGGTGGCATATTGTAATGCCCCAATCACTGACCTATAGAGAGACACATCCAAAAAATCTTCAGATCCAGTTTTGGATAATTTGCAGCCACTAACTATTGGAGAAGAAATGGACTTTGAACCTTCCATATCAGTGCGATTAAAGAGATCCCTAATATATTTGCTTTGAGTTAAGATAAGTGAGCCATCAATCTGAGTTTCCACTTCAATGCCAAGGAAGTAATCAAGGTTACCAAGATTTTGAGTGAAAAAGCATAATTAAGCTAAGAGATTAAACTATGAAGAATGGTTGAATTATTGCTTGTAATGATAATGTCATCTACATATACCAAGATGTAGATGACATTATTGGCACTAGAGTAGACAAACAATGACGGATCCCACTTGCTTGCTTGAAAGTCAAATTGCAATAGAGTTGATTTTAATTGCACAAACCAAGAACGAGGTGCTTGTTTGAGCCCATAGATTTCTTTGTGAAGTTTACATACTAGACTCTTGTTAGTAGATTCAAATCCTTGAGATTGAGTCATATACATTTCCTCTTCAAGAGTGTCATTTAGAAAGACATTATTGACATCTAGTTGTTGAATAGGCCAATGATGGGTTAAGGCAAGGGTAAGAACAAGCTGAACAGTGACAGATTTGATGACAGGTGAGAAAATTTCATTATAATCATATCCAAATTGTTGATGAAACCCCTTAGGAACGAGGTAGGCTTTGTATTTTTGGACAGTGCAATCAAGGTTTTCCTTAAAACGAAAGACCCATTTACATCCTATGGTAGTCTTATTTAGTGGTAGATTAACAAGGGACCATGTGCCATTGTGAAGTAAGGCATTGTATTCGACCTGCATTGCAGTAAACCAAGTAGAATTGGATAAGGACTGTTTAGTTGTTTTAGGTTCAACATGGGTCAACGAAAGGGTTGGTTATAACATAGGATGAACATTGTGAGGATGAATGATTGGAAAATTATTGGATTCTAGGATAGGTAATGTAGGGATGGATAAATTGGAAAGAGACATACCAACTGTAATGTCTTGTGAGTTAGGTGATTCAGGAGGAATGTTTAGTGAGGTTATTGATGTGTGAGGTTCAGTCTCCACAATGGGTGATGTTTCATAGGTGGGAATTGAACAATGTTCATTTGAGAAGGTTGATGTGGGGCGTAGAAGTATGAGTGTTGGTTACAATAAGAGGAACTTGGGTTGTTTCTTGGGGAGAATTGATGGTTTGTGAAGAAAAGAGATCCTTGTAGGGAAGCCTAGTTTCATTTAAGACAACATCTTTGAAAATTGAGGCACCATCTGCTGCAAGGCACTTGTAGTCTTTGTGAGATGTGGAATACCCAAAAGGACACATTCTTGAGATCGAAATTGAAGTTTGTTTTTGTTGTAAGGTCAGAGATGTGGAAAGCAAAAACAACCAAAAATTTGAAAAAGTTGTAATCTGGAGGTTGTTGAAAAAGTTTCTGATATGGAACTTCATTTTGGATAAAAGATGATGGAAGCCTATTGATTAAGTAAACACTTGTGATAAAAGCATGATCCCAAAACTGCATAGGCATATTAGCTTGAGCTAACAAGGTGAGACCAAGTTCAACAATATGCCTATGTTTACATTCTACTACCCCATTTTGGTGGGGTGTGTGTGGACATATGATACAATGTTGTATTCCAACACGATTGAGATATGTTGCGAAGAAACGGTACTCTCCTCCCCAATCAGTTTGAATGGCTTTAATAGGTAGTTGGTATTGATTCTTAACCATAGCATGAAATTGTTTAAAAATATCAAGAGTTTGGGCTTTGCTTTTAAGAAGATAAATCCATCCAAAATGTGTGTGAGCATTAACAAAGGTAACATAACATTGATACCCACATGTAGATGAGGCTAGTGCAGCGCCCCATAAATCACTAAATATTATTTCAAAAGGTGTGTAAATAGTTTTAGACAAACTAGAATGTAATCTATGGGACTTGCCAAGACAACAATGGGCACAAAAATCTGGATCAATTTTATTCATAGATGAAAATTTGTAATTTTGAAAGACAAGTTTCATTATATCAATATTAGGATGACCTAATCTAGAGTGCCAAGTGGCAAAAGAAACAAAATTTTTAGTTGTATGACCTGTAGGATTTTTGACAATTTGATAAGACTTGAAGGGTTGTTTGTTGGAAGTGAAAAGCAAGGCAAGAAATTGATATAGACCATCAAAACCAACAAAGCCTTGAGAAGAATTTCTTAAGTAGCTTGTGATTTTACCAAACAAATTGTGGGATGAAACTCAAAAAATACAGAATTATCTTTTGAAAATTGACCGACACTAAATAGATTTTTGGTAATGGATGGAATAAAAAGAAGATTATTTAGAGCAAAATGAAATTTAGGATTTATTGGGGAGGAAAAGGTAGTAACACTTGTTGAATTAATATTGAGGCCCTAACCATTTCCAATATTGATTTGATCCGGTCCTTTGAAAGGGGTAAACTGTTGAATATTTTGAGACATTGGTTACATGATTTGAAGCACCAAAATCTGGATACCAAGTGTTATTTCCAAAAGAAAAGGATGAGGCAATCATGGCCTCAGGTTGTAGAAACAAAGTACACTTGTGGGGTGGGCTTGGTCGAGGCCCAAGAATTCCATTTTGGTGGAGTGGAGGATGAGAGAGTTGTTGTGAACATGAATAAATGTACTACATTGCAGTAGATTGGATGGTGTAACGAGTATTGGGATTGGCAATTTGATTAGCAAAAGTAGAGATAGGTGTATCCAGAGGAAAATATGGGGCAAAATTCTCATCAAACTTGTGGTAACAAGACGCAACATGCCTGTAACAATAGCAGACCTGGCATTAAATGCTAGCAAATCTAGCTCGTCCACAACCACCACAATTTTTGAAACGACCACCAAGAGAGCTAGTTTGACCACCACAACATTGGACGAATTAAGATCTAGGTCCTTGATGGGTAAGATTTGCTTGTGGGTGTGATATAGAAGAATTAGATTCGAAGGAGGCTGCAGCGACATTAATGAATGCAACAACTTTCTTCTTGAATTTATCAACGCGAGATTTGTTCCAAGAAGCAAGGTTTCCACTTCGTCAATGGACAATAGGTCAAAGTGACTGCTAATGAGAGACATGATTGATTCATATTCTTCAGGTAAGCCTTTAAGAATGATATCAAGATAATCTTTTGAGGAAATAGAGTCACCAATGGTTGTGGGGGCATCAACAAGGGTTTTTGAATGCGGAGAACATAATCTGAAATGGTTTGATTTTCAAGATTGGTGTTGCGTAGTTCATTGTGGAGTTGATGAGCTTTGGCATTTGTGTGAGAATGAAAGTAGGAATGTATTTTATCCAAAGTTGAAAAGATGTTTTGCAGCCTATAACACAAGTAAGCTTGTTTTTAGACATGGAAGATTGCAACCAAGACAACAAGAGTTGATCTTGCTATGCCCAAGCAAGACAGGATTCAGAGACTTGTCCAGCATCACAATCAGTAATTGAAAGAAACTTTTGAGGAATCTAAGGGTTGACGAGAAAGTGATGAAGTTTGTGGCCCTTGATCACTGGTTCAACCTACTAGCACCAAATAAGGTAGTTCTTGGTGTCCAACTTTTCTAATATGGTGTGGGAAAAGGTGAGAGATGGAGAAGAGTTAGTCGGTGGATTCTTTGGATGAACAGTATTGATTGGTGTAACGTTCATTGGTGGAGGAGACGGTGGTGTTGGAGAAGAATCAGTCATGAAGGAGGTTGTTGAGAGGATCAAGAAAGAAAGAAAGGATCAATGAGCTCTATGATACTATAAAAGAAATATAAAGAGAGAAGTTGAGAGAGAGAAAGAAAGAATATTTCTGAAATGTAAAATATGTTTTCCACTAACTGAATAGAGAGTACAAATTGTGTTTATATAAAGCCAACAACTTCTAATAGAAGGTGTTGGGTTGTAACATCTATTGACCTATAATGGAAAATAATAAATGTGACTAACAATACAATAGAAAATAATAAAACAAAAACTTCTCTATAAATCCTACACTACTGTTGTACATACAAGTAAAGAGTAAAACTATACTCCAATAGATTTGTATAGATAAAACAGAATAGCACTAATTGCACCAAGTTCATAAGTGCTCCATCAAATCATTTTCATAGGCCTTCATGACTTTTCAATTTCTTTTATAAGAATTGGTGAAGTATAAAATGAAAATTAAAAAATTGTTAAATCTTGTGATTTGTATAGATAATACGGAATGCCACTAATTCATTCATGTAACATAAGATCAAAAGCCATTTGAGATTCATCTTATGATTTGAATCGATAGGCAGCCAAAATGTATTCAAGTGAAGGATTCAAATCGTGAATCATAAGAGTCTAATAACTATAATTCCCATTTATATCAACCATATACTTTTAATATTCCCAAAATATTAGTTTAACCCATAAACCAGTCACTCCTATTGCTCTGAAAGATGGATGAGTAACCATTTGAACAATAGGCTCATAATTTATTTAAATAAACAAACATAGCATTAAGTTCATTTTGCTAGATTTGGACAAAAGTACTAAATCTTCATCACACAAGCAACACTAGAGACATGAAGAAAATGCATGAGATGGCACTATAATTCACACCTGTATGACAAATTGAGTTCTCATTCTTGAGAATAAGATATCCTTTGTCCAAACTCTCCTTTTCACCTAGCTACATATGTTCCTTGTTTTGTGACACATGTTTAGAGCTTTCATGTCAAAATCAAATCAATATTTTTATCCATAACTGCAATTCCTGCT